CGCCTCCTCTCCCTTAGAAGGAGCAGGAGGAAAATTAGACATGTCAACGGTAAGATGGGAAGGGACCACCTTGGCCCCTCTCTCAGAACTGTCGGCTTGGCAGCCGCCTCGTTTCAATTCTACATCTGGCGCCTGGTCAGATGTTTCACTAATGAGCACCCTTTGGGAGGAGCCGTCAGAGTTTGATATCATAGCAGTCTTTTTTGTTCTGGCCATCACGTTCTGCATAGACACAGATACAGTCGGACTTTGTATAAAGGGCAAAGATGGGTCCAGAAAAGGGCAGGCGGCACTCCTAGTCCTAGATTCAGCCGTCCCCGGTGACCGGCTGATCACTAACTTAGGTCGTGTCGTGTGCTTCCGTGGTGCCATTTCAAAAAATAAAAAGAAAATTAAGAGTAAGAGAACTGAGTTACCTGAACGAGTGACGGTTGATGAAGTTCTGGAAATCCGGTGCAGTCGGCTTGTCAGAACAGGCGGTAGGCAGAAAAGGTCCGAAATGTCAGAGCAAGTTCAGGGGTCCGAATGTTCTCGCAAAGTTCTCAAATGTGAAAATGACCGAAGTCAGCACTTCCTTATATAGGCAAAGTGAGAAGGCGAAGGGTCGCTTCCAAATTCAAAATTTGGGCGGGAAAATCTCTCGGCCGTTTGCAAGGTGACCTGTAGCAGGCCGTCGCCTGTCACCGTGCGACACCTGTCACAGGCGACACGTGACCAGTCACGTGCCACCTGTGAGGGGCAAATGATTAGGGGATTTTTATCCACCAATCACCGTCTGACAAGTGGACCAACCAGGTTCCGCCACGTGTCCTTCACGAAGGCTAATAGGAGCCTGCCACGTGTCAATCACAGATACGTCCTCTACGGACCAATCGAGGCACGCCACGTGTCCACCCATGCCAAATGGGAAAACCGGCCAACAAGGCCCAATCCTGTCTAGAGGCCCGGTCAGCCCTAGGTTTACCCTAAACCTAGAGAGTGGCACGCTTCTCAAGACTATAAATACTTAATTAATCCTCATTAATTAAGGAGTCAAAAAAACATCAGGCAATCAAGCATTTGAGAGAGCAATTGATCAAGCAACTAATCTCACCTGAAGAACAGAAACATTACGGAACACTAATAACCGGCTAATCTCGCTAACAAAGCAGATTACCAACATTAAACACTCTCACCTAGAGAGGTCTTATTACTTTAATTTCCGTATTAATTACTCCTTAATCAGGTACTAACTTGACCGTTGGAGGCGAAGCTCTCAGGAGTCTCCGTTATTTTGCAGGTACAGGCGTCCGGTTCCAGTCTCGGAATTGTAACTCTCCCGCAGGACATCAGAAAACCCCGAAACACATCCGACCTCTTTCTTTTCTGGAAAGGTTGTCCGGATGGGTCTGCTGCCCATACCCCCTTTCTCTTATTTTCTTCCTTTTTGGCCGGCTGGGTAGGCCGATTCTCTTTTTTGTCGGATCTTTTGTAATCCGTTGGAAGTTTCACAGCATAGAGTTCCATTGCTTGAATGTAAGCCTCCGCCTTCATAAGCGCCTCGTGAAGAATAGAGACCCTCTTCCTAACCAAGTCAAACTTAAAAGTTGACCCGTCTTTTAGGCCTTTAACGAAATCAGTGTAGGCAACGTCATCAGACAATCCATGGATTTGGATCCTCATTAGGTTAAACCGCCTGACATATGACCGGAGCCCTTCCTTATCTCCCTGCTGAATTGCCCCTAGATCAAAGCTTGTTTTCTTGGCAAGAATATTCATAGAAAAGTTGGACGTAAACCAGTAGGCCAACGTCCTGAAATTATTGATGCATCCAGCTGGGAGGTTGCCAAACCAGCGTTGAGCAATCCCTTTCAACGTTGTCGGGAAGCACCTACACCATGAGGCATCATCCAAACCCTGCAAATACATCAGGTTGGTGTATTCCATGAGGTGATCTTCCGGGTTGGTGGTACCTTCATAGGCACCCACCAACACGTTTTTAATTTTTGACGGCTGGGTCATCTCTGTGATTTCCCGGAAAACGTTGTTGGTTGTTCCCCAAGGTTGAGCAGCCGGAGCTGCAAGTCCATAGGCTGGACAGGCGGCTGCTGCTGCCCCCCGAAAAGACCCGGTTGTGAATATGGAGATCCAAAAGGCGTGTATGGTGTCCCATGCAATGCCGGTTGGATGATATGAGGGTCGGACCGAGCGAAAACCTCGCTCGTCCGGCTGTCATTGTTTGTTCTCGAGTGCCTCCCTGATGTGACATTGAAGTTGTCTCGAAAGGTCGATGTTGATGCCGACTCGGAGCGCTATTGAGCCTTTTTATCCTCAATGAGCTTCCGAGCATCATTATAGACTTTCTTTGTTCCATCCGACTGTATGTGCCGGACGGGTTTTCTGGCTCCATCCATGGGAGTGTGAATCTTTAAGAAATCAATGGGCCTAGCCGGCACCTTTGACTTCGGGTGTGGGGTAGATGCTCTACCTTTCACTGTCTGGGCCGTCTTTTTTCCAAGACGCCTTTCTTCCGCCTGACCCTTACGGGGGCCGGTTGTGTTATCCAGAAGGCCTTTGATTTCCCCTTTGAAACTCATCATCATGCTTATGAGTTCGTCCCTGGAGACTGGGGTGGCTCCTTCTGAAGCAGAAGTTAATCCAAGCGGTCCACTGACGGGATGGTTTGGGCCTGCCTACTGCTCTGCCCATTCCCTTTTGTCTTTGGAACGAGTATGCTTGGTTCTAAAAGAACCATCGGCGGCGGTGTAAGTTTCAACCTCACAGTTGTCGACTGTATCTTGGTCCGAGTGGACCTCAGCCTCACCAACAGGTTGACTACCTTTACCCGGCAGTACAGGTTCTAAAGTCATCTAGAAAGTACTCTCCCCACAGACGGCGCCAGATATTTGGGGGTGTTTTATGTGTCCTACTGGAGAGTTACAATTTCCTAGTATGCTCCTTCCTTTGCCTACACCTGCACAAGTAACGGAAAACTCCGACTGGGGCTGGGGTGTTCCGCCTCCGAAGATTAAGTTAGTATCTTTCTTAATGAGGAAATAAGACAATAAATGCTTCTCGATTTAAGAGCGTTTTCAAGGGGATTTGTGTTTGGTTGGTGGTTGGAAAAAAATGAATCTCTCCATAAATGAGGTCTACCCCTGCTATTTATAGTAGGGGAGAACTGTACCTCAATTAGGGTACAAGGACACGTGTCACAGGCTGATTAGCCTGTTTACTAACCGTTGATAGGTTGACACGTGGCAAGCTTTTATTGGGCCACGTGTCTAAGGTAATTTTTACCCTAAACATATGCTTATTGATGTTTCCGAAAGGAGGCATGGGGTTTTTCTTTTATTGATGTTCCAAATTGGAGCATGGGGAGACAACCTTGTCTATTGCTTAATCCAATAAATAAAGTGAAATGAAATGATCAGTATTAATTAGTGAAGTCTTAGTAATGTTAACAGTTGAGTCATGTGTTTGAGTCAATAATTAAATTGTTGTGTGTTGATTGATAATTAGTAGCATGCTAGGAATTCTTTGTTATATTTTGTAGCTTGTATATACTCAGTGTTGCTAATTACGTGCTTTTGTGTGTCTTTTCTTGGTCATGACCTTCGCCTTTCAATGACCCTGTAATGATCCAATCTTTACACTTATAATATTGGGGAGCAGACTTATCACATGTGTTTACATAGTTTGGACTTGCATTAAGGTGGTGGGATTTTGAGTGGAGAATTGGTTATTGTTCGCAATTTATTTCTTTTCATAAGTTTGAATTTATTTAAACTCTGGTTTGGTTTATTTAATAATTTATTTATTAGGTTTTGAATAAGGGTCTTAATGGTTCCCACTTGTAAGACTTAATTTGGTTTTGTTTGTTGGTTTTGGAACTTATTTATAACTAAGTTAGTTTTTCCGCTGCTAAATTCTAATTTAGCCTTAACGTTTGAACACGTGGCGGTAGCACGTTAGTAATTCTCTTGCATTTTATTAAAGGTACTTATAGGATTAAAGAGAGAATTATTGGGGTGTTACACCACCACCATGGGTACCACCCCTCATGGCCTCACCCTCACCACCCATAGTCTCTTGAACCAAACCACACCCTCATCGCGCACCCCCTTCCACTTGACCCCATCCTGTCGGACTAAAACCCCATCCCACCAGTCCGTAATCCCACCTCACCTCGAAACCCACCACATCGAACCCAAACCCTACAGCACCAGACCTAAATCCCAACTGAAATCCGCCGCATCCGGTAAATACCCTACTTAATCATGAAGTAAGAAAGCCGGTATTCAAATTTCCAAAACGTTATTTCGGGCAAAAAAGAGCGGGCTTTTTGGGTCATAATTTGAACGAGCCTAATTTTTAAATAATAAATGTAGTTTTAGGTTACCAAAACCCCAAATTACTATATAAAAATTAGGCTAGGGGGATCAGAATTCAGGCCCAAAAATCCTGCCCAAATACTGACATTTTCTTAGGCTTGGCCAACTTTGATCTAGTCGCATAACAACTAAATTTTTTTTTAATTAATGTTAAGAAATCAACTATTACTCATTGAATCAAATTTATTAATATTTTTCTACGAGATTAATATTATGGCCTTGTTTGGCAAAGCTGTTGGCGGTTAAAGGTTGGTTGGTTCACTTGGCTTGTTTGACCAGTTGGAATGTTTGGCTGTTTGTAATGGCTTTTGAAATTGGTTATTTATAAAAGTGTTTGGTAAATTAGTTGTTGTTTGTTGGCTATTTATTAGATAATTTGTGGGCCAACAAGCCAAAAGCCAAAAAAAAAGCTACTCAAAGCAGATTTTTCATTTTGGCTTAAAAGCCAACTTTTTCACCGACTGAAAAGTCAATTACCAAACATTTTTTTTGGTTATTTGACCACATAAACAAGCCAAAAGCTAATAAAACAGCCACCAAAAAGCCATTTACCAAACATGACCTATGTATAAATTGTACATCACACAATCACAATACTAGTTGAACTCTAATTTCTCGGCTCATTATCAGTCTAATGCTTACAAGAGTTACAAACTTACAACCAGAACTTGTGAAATGAAAACCCGGAGCGTGTCATATTACAATTACGCTAAACGGATGTTCCATCATATCGGAGTACAATAAACTTGAGAATACTAAAATTGATTTATCACTTCCAAGAGAATATGAACATGGCGCTCTCAACTACCACACCCTATTTTTCAATTCAAGCAAATAAAATCACAAATTACACTTCACCAATCTTCCTCCAAAAACAAGGTCAAATCTCTATTATCAATGGCTTCTCCCCTTTATACAAACCCCTCACTCAATCTAAGCCTTCTTCTCGTCGAACCCTTCTCACTATTCCCGCCTTTTCTAGCTCCCAAGGTTTTTTTTTTTTTTTTTTTTTTTTTTTTAAAAAAAAAATTGATTATTTTATGTTTCTTGCAAATTCGGGTCGAATTTGACAATTTTGTACAATTTTAAGCAATTTAAATTGTTATTTTTAAAGGGGTATTTACATATTTTAAATATTAATTGTGGCAGGAGTTGGGGCACTCGTTGGTAGTGAAAGCAATCTCTCTTTGTTGGATAAAGCTCTAGTTTTTGATTTGAATGGAAATGGAATTCCAATTTCTGATTTATGGAAGGATAGGAAAGCTGTGGTTGCTTTTGCTCGGCATTTTGGGTATTTTATTTTATTTTATTTATTTATTTATTTTATTTTTAATTTTATCTTGCGAATTTATTTCTTTTAAAATTTGAATTTTTATTATTTATGTGGATTATGCTATCTTACTGTAGATATTGTGTATTTTGTTTTTCCCTAGTTGTTTGCAAGATTCATGAACTATCTATATGCTGAGTACTGTAATTAATATGCAAAAGTAATGCTCAAAAGTTAAGAAAATAAGGTAGCAGCAAGGGTTAGAGTTAGAGTGCCTATTATAAGAGCAATTCATGTTTTCGGGTTGAATTGTAAATGCCGAATAGCTAGATTACTAAAGTATTGGGGGTATGATATCAGTGTCTTTCGTAGCTTGCTTTAGACCAAACTGTAGATTATCAATGATCACAATTTTCGACCTTTAAATTTTGACTTTTTATTCGGGAAATTCAAATCAGGATGGATGAAATAATGTTTGAAAAAAGAATGTACTGCTTCTTTCCGTTGCATGTGATAGCCTGTTCTTATATTTGTTGGTTGGTTGCAGATGTGTGTTTTGCCGCAAGCGGGCAGATTATCTTGCTTCCAAGAAGGTAACATGACATGGCCTTGCATTTGTTCAAAATATTAGATTCCTTATTGCTGAATTTCCATTACAAAGAATATGTGTACATGAAAAAAGAACTAGACTATCTCAACTGTGGATTTTATAGAAGGCCCAAAAGACAAAAACTACTATAAAATCTTTAGATTAAATAGCGGTCATAGATGCTGTTGCAAGTTTGCTGTTTAACACCCTCCTCAATCTAGAGCCTCAGGGTGTAAACCATATTGTCCATATATAATTCCCTCAACTCTCTTGTGACATATCTGAGCAACACTCAGGGGTATGTGTTTGCCGATGAGGCCATCAGCAAACCAATTCATTTATCACTAATGAAGTGACTGTAGGGCATTGTATCTTTTGTTTATTGTGGAATATAGGTTTTTTCTTCTTGGCACTTGGATCGAAGGATTTCAAAAATGAAGAGAAACAAGAGCCAGACAATAGCGAGTTCCTTGAGCTATCTGTTTGAAATTAGTGATTTCAGCCATTAACTCCTCATTGCTTTGTGCTACACCGTATATGTTTGTTATAGTTGGCTAGTTGCTGGTTTTTGGCCGCACAAGGAATTATAGGTTTAGAGTTGACATCCTTAGCCTGAGTGTAGTTGAAGGAAATGAGGAAACCTGAAATTTTTAAGTACAATTGTGGCGTTGCTTGTTTCAAAGCCTTACAGGGAATGGATTATCTTAGCTTTTTTATTATATTGGACTAGCTGAGCCTGAAAGACCTGCTGGTACTTTCGCGTTCACCTCATATTCCATGATGTATATTTTGGCCCTGTTTGTGTTTCTGTAACAATCATATTCCTCATATTCCCTTTAACTTGAAGAGTTCTGAGAAAATTCCTGATGTAGGTCAACCCTTACTTTCAAGATAATTTCTATTTTTGCATCTTTCAACTGCCATTTGTTTCAGTTTACTCTGTGGACCTATGTACAGTCTTTGAGATTTCTTTTTGGGGGAAATCAGCTCCTTATTTGGTGGGATTTTAAGCTTCCAACATCTTGGCCATAGCTTTTTGTAGAGATGGCTCATGTGCTTGACTAATAGTAATGGAATTAGTCGAGGTTTAGAAGTTTATTGTTTTTTGTTCTAAGTTGGTGAAATGTTTTTCCCTGATAGATAAGCAAAGAGAAGACAAGGTACAGGTAGTCTACTTATATTGTTATGAAAATAACATATATAAACTTCCTAAACTAATCGAGCTGACTACACGATGGTTTGTCTTTTAATTTTAAAGAACGACTCAATAGGAAATGTTTTTGCCAAATAAAGCTAGTTTCTGCAACTGGATTTATGCAAATCCCTGTCAAGTGGAAAAAAAATAAAAGAAAAGTGATGGTTCCCTGGTTTTATCCTTGTTCAATGACCTTATTAGAGCTTACAATATTGACTTTTACTTGAAACTGGGTGAATGCAACGTGGAAAACAATTTTAATAGGACTAAAGGCTGCACTTTTTGATAGTCAAAAGATGTGTTCAAGACAGTGAATTCCTTTATTATAGGCAGAAAGTACCATAACTTACATGTTCTGGAATATCATAAAGTCACCATATGTAAAACTAAACAAGCTCAAAGTTTTTATTATTTTTTTTGTAAGAAAATTTCTACATGGAAAAGGTGATGAGTGTTGCATTTCCCAGTACAAAACATTACTAAGGAACACGTGATGAACAGCTGATCTTTCCTTATATTGCAATTTCATTAATAGAACATTATATTCATAATAAGGTTCTAATATCATGTACCACAGAACAACAAAATTTCTTTAGTGACAAAGTGGGATATGGCTGGCTCTCACTTCCGGAAAGAGTAAATGCGTTTATGGTAGCAATAAAATCAGAAACATCACAATTATTCAGTTTTTGGAACCTTTTTCCACCATGGGTAAAAATAAAACCGATCTTCTTCTTTACCGAAGAGAAAGGCTTCTTGTTGGGCCCACTGAAAAATAAGGCTGCAGTTTATTGGCTGAAAAATAAGGCTTCTAGTTGTATTTGAAATCGAGAACATATAGCACATCAGTTTGGTCAGTCATGTATTCTGATTGAAACTAGAAGTTGCTTTGATGCTTTGGCCATTGGCCAGTAGGTAAGAATGTGTGATATGGCATATATGGGGGTTTCAATGGGAACATTTAGTATGTGAACAAGGTTTTAAAAAGTAAGTTATGGCTCTTTGTGCTGTTGTCAAAGAAAGGTTGCATAGCTAATGTAATTATTTATGTATTATTCTCTAAAACAGAACATTCTTTTCATTTGTGTATGAATGAAATGGAATGTTGCTGAACCACTTCATGTACAAGACTCTATCCAGCTGTTGCTATCTATACTGACAAATGTATTGTGGAAGCAAACTGACAAACTACAGTAACAGCATTAACTTGGTGCATGTTTTTACAATAATTAATATACATACAAACCAGGACTAATGAAGACCATGGCCTCTCTTTTCTTGTGTGCTCTATTTAATTTAGTGAACTAATGACATGTATTTTTCATGATTGATAAAATTTATTTCATGTTAATGTAATTCCTTCCTCTCACCATCTCCCGCCTTCACTCCCTAATATAAGAAAAACCCGATAGGAAGTTTCAGTTCCACCAATTTAGCTCAAATTGATATTCTCCTTAGACCACTGATGGGAAGCCCATTTACAGAAAAAATCCTTATGAATGTCAGTAATAACTTGGGCTTTGTTTTTTACCAATTACTTATTATATCACAGAGATCCAGAAGTTGCAATACCATATGTTTTGCTAAACCAAATGCCAGTTGGAGTGAATTTGTTGGTAAATTTTCAATTTCATCAGCTCAAACTCGAACAATCAATCAGAGTGGTAATACTTGTTCGTGTAGATGTTGGGTGCTTGATTCAGAGCTACAGGAGGAAGTGACACCACCGCTTCCTGTAAAAATAGTGAGCATTTATGAAGATGGCAGCATCAGTCCTCTTAAATCTGCTCCTTGGCAAGATGTTCTGCTTCACACTGTAAGTAATTCAGAATGATTATATTAATACTTGGATTCTGAGTGTGGCACAAGGCCTGCTTTCTTTGAAGGATGTTGCACAATTGGATGAAATTTCCTTCCCATCTAATCTCTGAGCAGGCAGAAAGATTGAAGTGGCTTGATGAAGAAATTGAAATGCTTGTCTTTAGTGATAGTCTCTGTCAATCCAGTGAAAGTATGGCTGAAAACCTTAAGAAGGAGCTTATGCATGCTGATATACTGTTGGTTGTTTCTGTAACCAATCAAGAATCAGTAAAGTGGATTCAGAATCATGCTCACAACGTCCCAAATGTTATATGTTTCGAGTCCTCTACTGTGTTAGTGAATAAACTAGGAGGCTCCCCTGTTAGCAGTGGAACCGAAGGGAAGATGCTTGACATATTAACAGGCTTTTCAGAATCTAAGAAAGTGAATGAGAAAACTGAAGTAGTGAAAACTGTTACTGAAGCTTGGGAACGACATAATTCAGATGACATTAGATTTTCCTTATTGGTCATAATCAATGCTTATTTAAAGCCAGTTTCTGTTTTGAAGAATTTGAGATCAAAGGGGTTTTCTACACTCAGTTGCATGGTAAAAAACTGCGGACCCCAGATTCTGAATTGCTTGTTAGACCCTGCTTGTAGGAATGCCCTTCAATGCTTGAATAAGTGCAGTCCCGTGGACCAGGTATGCAATTATCGCTGCATTGCTTCGTATGAAAGTCCACAGCTTGAAGCATTTTCCCTTTGTGTATTACAAAAACATAATTGTTTGCAACTAGATGCCAAAATTCCTGACAAGCCATACGTACCTCCTATGGCCAAGTTTCGAGGATCTGAACTGTGCCACGAGACTGCTGAAGATCTCTTTGTCGGCTGGCTAGGGAGTATGGATTGGAGTTGGCGTGTTGTGGCTGGACAAAATCCTGCTTATGATCAATTTCCATGTCAGTACCAACTCTTCTATAGGGGAAAGGCCAAAGGTTCTTTTTGGTACGAGCCAATATTTCAAGTCAAAACCTTGGACGGAAAAATTGTGTGGAGAAGGAGAAAATATCGGGTGAAGAGAGGCCCAGTTCCAGGTAAATTCTTCTTCAGCGTTTTGGATAACGGTGTTGTCTCAAATGAGTCCTGGACAATTGTGGATGTTGTTGATGATCTTAGCTGGGGATTGTTTCATTATCACGGAGCTGCTCGAGTTGCGGGACAATCGTACACAGGGGCAGTTCTTGTTAGTCCGGACGGAAGATTCCCTAGTGAGGCGGAAGGACCTAGATTAGATAGTGCTTTAGATAAGTGCGGTATCAAAAAGTGGGAGCTATTTACTGTTGATAATTTTTCTTGTCGCAATCCGCCGCTAGGAATTCCAGAAGGTTCAATCTTGCACTGCAACACAAGAATTGAAGATCAGAAACAGGCTTGATATTAAAAGATGGGATTACTTAGGGACTGGGACACCGTTCAGGCGTTCACGACATAAAAGTTATTTCGATATTTTTCAGAAGGCAAACTATGAGGCAAAATCAACATTGTATAAAAGTTTGAAGCTTGTATAGCATTAAAGTTACCCCCTGCCCCAGGAATGATTTATTCGAGGTTTAGGGTAATGAGCTGCTGTGTTTTCTTACAAAGCATCACCGAAAGACATTTTAGCTTCAGACTTGTTTCTCACAAATATTTGGGTTTGGGATTGAAAGGAGTTGCTAGTAGGATGTGATTATATTCTTGTAGGGCCCTGTGTTATTTTTCTTATCTGTTATTGTATCTTTATGAGGACTTCATATCTTCCTATTATATTGTTCTCAACTTTCAGTCACGTGTAACAGTACTTATTTGATCTTAAATAGATGATTGAATATTTACGTTGCTTTGCTTGGTGATGGATGATCCGTGATTTGATAGTTTTCTACTTGTGTCAATTTATTTCTTTTAAATGGCATATATTCTAAGAAATTCTTGAATGCATATTGAGGGACCATCTTTGGTCTTCCTGATGACTAGTATGCCCAACACTTGATAATGAATCTGTTATTCCCTTATCCATATAAGTCATAAGTTTAAACTGTTTATATCCATCTTAATCTTCCTTTATTTTGCTCTTCTTGAAAGGATGGTGACCATGAGAATTTACTTCATGGTCTTTAGTTGCTAAAGCTTGTATGAAATTTGGTAGGAACAAATGGATGCAGCTGGTGTAGCACTTATTTTGATTGGACCAGGAAACATTGATCAGGTAATTTGCACAATCTCTTTGTACTTTGTTATTCTGATTTGAATTTCACTCACATTGCACTAACTAGACTTATTATGCAGGCCAAAGCTTTTTATGAGCAGACCAAATTTGGAGGAGGTTCTGTTTTTTTTCTCTTTCTGCTTCTGAGATTTGGAGTTATGTTAGTCTCATTCAGGGAATGAGGTACTCTTTATTTAATTATTTTGGTTGGTGGATGGTGTTAATCTGATTTGAACTTGGTTCAATCTTAAGCATTATGGTTCCAGAGGAGATAACACCTCATTACTGAGGTAAAGTTTATGTAGTAGCTGTGGCAAAAGGCTTAAAAATTGCTGGCGTGGGCTTAAAGTTCTCCACTCACTTTATGGGCTGGTTGGTAATGATGTTTTCCACAAAAGGTATCATAATCTCATACTGGTGTGATTGAAGGAGTTAATATACCTTGGGGAATAAGGGAGAGGAGAGAATATGAGGAGAAACATTTATAACAATAAGAGAGGGAGAAATGTGAAACTGACATAACAGTGTTCAAGCTCAAAAGCATGCTGTCAAATGATATTGAAACAATGGAAGCTTATAATGTTTGGGAGTTGGGTCTTTTACAATCAAATTGGTTAAATTCAAATGAGTAATACTTTGAAATATCACTGTTATATAATACTGGGTAAATGATTCCTGTAATTTCACTCCTAGCTAAAGAAAAACATTTGTAAGAGCAGTTGTTCTTCACATAATTGTAATTCTGAATACTGATTAATCTGTAGAAACCTTTGCTGGACAAGAAAAAATTGATGTATTAGATGTATGATGCCACCTCTTGATTAAGAAAGTTGATTAAGAAATACTTTTAGTCTCATTTGAAGCCAATGACAGCTTGATAGCACAGTATGTGAGATGTGACTGATGCATAATAAGGAATTCAGAAATAATCTGGAGACTCTGATGGACCTCTATCTTCTACTTGTAAAGCATAAATTACATTTTGGTCAAGTGTTCAGACTTTCAGAGCTGGAAAGGTTAAGTGTAATATGATGAAAGTGGAATTGGGGCTGTTTTATTAATGCTTCATTTTGAATCTTGGTGAATGGGCACCTTAAATTTTATCTTAGGGTTGTCTGTTCAAGATAGACCCAATTTCATCCCTTGTATATTGCTTAATTGTCAATATCCAAGTAGGATGATCGACAACAACATTGAGTGCAGGTTGGTTGCGTTCTTTGGTCACTGAAGAATTGAAGAGGGCTGTTTTCATTCTTGTCAATTGTTTCATTGGAACTTATTTTTCTTGTATTCATGAGACAAAAAGGTTCCTAAACTTCTGTATATATTTAGATTAGACTGGAGGAGTCCTTACTGTCATTCAAGTCTTTGAACTCACTTTGAGTCTTAGGGTTGATTTCTCTCTTAGTGTCTCTAAATACTAGCCCCTTTTGATATCTATATAAATATCAATTAGTTAGACTTCAAACGCACTGCCTTCAATTTGTTTTTTTTTTATTTTCATTTTTCCTTTGGAGCGATATAGTTACATGTATATGCACGTGCCAACTCATTCATTCATGCACCTCATCACTTGACCTACAAGCCCATGTTCATGCCTTATCCCAGCTACTGATAGCCCATTGTGAGCTCCTAATTTGTCCATCAACCGCTGGCTCTTTGAAGCTTGCTTCAAGAATTTTATGCATCGACCCAGTAGAGCATCAACCACAATCTCACCCACCAATATATCCACCACACAACCCTAAAATCCGACACTATATTTGCTGCCCACTTCCCTATCTCAAAGACATGGACTATTATATCATAATCATCATCTTAACAAGTCTGCTGTAAAATTGTCTTATCGGATTTGTACTTATTTCTTATAATGTGATATGATATTAACTTATTTTTCTGACTTAAACCTAGCTTTTCTGCCCTTACCGAAACTTTTTTTTTCTTTTTTATTTGTTTATTTATTTTTTATCATATGGTCTAGTATATCTAGGATCTATCATTGAAAAGGATGGAGATATAGCTCATAGGATCAAGGGGGTGGTTGAAGTGGAAGAGTGCGACGGAGTTTTTATGTGATTCCGACGATTGAAGGGTAAATTCTACTGAAAGACAATTAAGGCCTGCTTTGTTATATGGTACAGTATGTTGTTGGGCTATAAAGCATTGCCACATGCATAAGATGGATGTGGCGGAGATGCGTATGTTGCGATGGATGAGTGACCATATAAGAAAGGACCGGTTGAGGAATGAGAAGTGAAATAATTAGGAAAAGAGTAGGGGTTACATTGATTGAGTACAAGATGAAGGAGAATCACTTAAGGTGGTTTGGCTCCGGTAGGCTTGAAGAGTTATAAAGTGTTGGGATCACGAGGGGTAGGGGAAGACATAAGAAAACATGGAAGAAAGTGATTGCGAGTGATATGAGTGCTTTGGGGATTGAGGATTATGTGGTGTTGGATAGGGCAGTGTGGAGGGAGAAAAGTCATGTCAACGTGTCATAAATATATATACTTTTGTTTATTTTATCTTAGCATTTGCTTTTATTGTTTTACTCAATTCGTGTTTTATATAATTTATTGGTTTCTTTTGCTAAAGTTTTTTCAAACCATTATGTTTTTCACTCACACATTTTTACAACTCCTTTAAAAGCTTTTTAAAATTGTTCTTGGTACTCTTAAAATTCTCTTAAATTTTACTTGGATGCTCTTTCTTTTTCCCACTTTACACCCCTTGGTTATCTTGCCATGTCCTTTATTTATGACGATTCATGTGAGCCGACCCCAAATCATTTTGGGACTAAGGCTTTGTTGGTGTTGTATGGTCTAGTATGATATGAATATTATATAATTCAATTAATTTTTTATTCTTACTTGCCCATGCTTCTTGGTTCTTTAAATGTTTCTGAATAATGATCTCTGTCTTGCCACGGGTAAATCAGGAAATGGCTATTTTATTTACTTCGATAATTATTTCATTTAGACTTTACAAAAATGATTTTTTCCAGGAACCTAACTAAGTTCTGTTATTATTTTTTTCAGAAGTTTATGCAGATCCAGATCATTCATCATATGGTGCACTGAATTTTGTTTCTGGGGCCTCAACCACGTTCACCCCCAAGGTTCTAAACAGATGTCATATAGGTTTTAAGTCTCTATTTGCAAAATTCTGAGTTAGGTTGATGAATGATGATACAGGCAGGGTTGAAGATAATTCAGTTATACATGGAAGGATACAGGCAAGACTGGGGGCTATCATTTCAGAAAGACACTGTGTCTAGAGGTGGCTGGTATGTGGACATTATTTCCATCATGAATGCATAATTGTCTATTACATGTAATGGATCCATGTGTAAGTTGTATAATATCCATTTCTTGTGAGGATATTGGAAAATCTGCTAAACCAACTTCCCTTGCTAGCATAATCTTACAAAAAATTTACCTTTGAGATGCAAACACCCGTAAGATATGGGGAGACCAGTAATCAATTGCCTTCAGCACACTCTGTCATACGATTATATATTAGAAAGGCTAAGATTCTGATGAATTCGATCACCATTGCAATTTGCAAGCATGATTGGTACTTTGTTATTGTGTGAATCTATCTGCTAAGTGCTAATAATATATTGGTATTGTCATTTTAGACCATCTTTTCCTCTTGCCATAACTTCCTTTTTGTACTCTCTTTCAGTCTATTCTCTTACAAACAAATATTTTCATATTTTCTATTAACTCTGCGCCAAAACCCAATCCAGCTAGATACTTGGTGATGTTATTAGTAGAAGAAAAAGGAAAAGGGTGAAGCAAGGCTAAGTTACCAAAGTATTACTCCAATTTTGAACTAATGAAATTCATTTATCTGCCTAATTTATCACATATTTTGATAATTTTTCTGATTATTTCCCTTGTCATTCTGCTTCTCAAATAAATCCATGAAAGTGAAAGTTATAAATTATACTCCTGCATAGCATCATTTTATTGTTAGTTGGGTGCATTACATCCTCCAACGTCCACCACCCCCCCCCCCCTCCCTCCTCCTCCTCTATTAACCCTATCCTTCTTTCATGTAGCATCTCTTTTTTGCATGATCTGTTCACTTTCATCCTTGTGAAGGGATCAAACCCCAAACCTCCATGCTTTTAATGCAAGTCCTGCAGAGCCTCTTCTGTGCTTGAGCCTTCTCCAGGCAAAACGGTGGGCATATGACTATTCTGGTTCACCCTCCCCTGCATCAGTACAGCTTCACTAGAAATCTCTATAATTCTGGAAGGAAATCAAGTAATGCACTGCTGGTTCATAAAGATGATATCATTCCTATATCAACATCAAAACCATTTCATCCTTCCATTCCCACGCCCAAGATTCTGTATTTACAAATGACTAGATGTTATAGTGTATTTTCCATTCCCTGTCTGGCGTCTTGTTTAATTCAGAGGAACTTTGGACATTACTTTCCAGTATATGTTGGCCACCAAGATATCTTGAGAAATTTCATTTCCAAACTAGTTCCACACCAAATCTTTATTCCAGGTTATACCCGGCTTCATCTGCTTTGAAGCCTAATTAGATATATCAACGTTATTATTCGAACGCCTGTTCTTGAAATCTATATTTTCATTCTTGATCTATG